TCCAACATGAGGACACCTCGGTTGGAACCGCTGACATTTTGTTCCGAGCGGGATCTGCCACTTCTTCTCCGGCCATTGTTCCTCGCCAGCAGCTGCTGTCCTGCACTGTCCGGCTTCCCCATGGAGACGAGTTACCATTCCGGCGACAGCTAAACTCACCTGAGTCAGGATGACGGCTTTCTGGAGTTCACACGCGTTCCAGTGGGATTGCGTTACACAGACTGGAAATCAACATTAATGGGGGGGAAAAATGTATTGATGGGAAAGGTTTTGGACGAGAGGTTCAAGTGTTTTCCCCCTTTTCTGCCTTTTAAACCGGGCTTTAGGAGTCCAGTGTTTTAAGAAACCTGATCAGGCACAGGGCCACCGGCTGAGTTATTGAGCGTGCGTCCTGGCTTCACAGTGGATTAAATATTCATCTGAGTGGAGAAGGAGTTTGGGTTTTGTTATCATACGCAGGCCTCTCTCCTCACCCCCCTTTCTCCTTTCATGTGTAGAAGTCACCCCGCAGTGTTCTACTACCAGCAAGTCCTTTCCTCTTGTGCAACGGGCGTACACTTAGCATATTCTCCTGAGAACGCAAAGAAATTGTACGAAATTATATCAGTAGTCCTAGGATGCCTCTTTGAAGAACTCCAGAGGTGCTAGAAGCCACAAATCACAGGTTTTTTGGGGTTTATTGTAAAGTCTGTCTTGACTGTATTGTTCAGGAGGGCGGTGTCTCACTGTAAGCAAGCGTTGCTTGTTTAAGATGGAGTCTATACAGCTGAGTCCGGGGTGTCCATTCTCTCAGGCAGGCAGGAGCTCTTCACACACGGGCTGGATCTTCGAGGGCAGACAGCTTGAGCCGCGGCGCTCTGCTGGAATTCACTGTGGCCGCAGAACCGCACATCCGCACGACAAGCAAACTGCTACTTGAGGCGATAGGTGTCCAGGGTGTGTACAGCTGTGAATCCAGGCTGTGAGAGGAGATGTGCCTAGCCCTTTTAATTCAAATCCTAAGGGGGTGTCGATACGGTCAGCCCCTCTACACTTGAGATTTGATAGTGCAACAAAGACATGGGGGTGGGGGGGGCAGTGTTGGGAACTCAAAGGCAGTTCTTTAAGGTTGGAGGACACACAAAGAGTGGCGGGTGTCTGGAACAGTTGTGCCTGTATTCTCCGTGCATTGCTATGGGATTAGTGTCTGTGAGGGTTGGGTGGAACTGGTGCTTACAAATTAAATCCTGTTGTAGGATGGATTAGAAAGGGGGTCTCTGACCCAGCTCCTGTCATATTTCTTCGTGTCGGAAACACGCGAGTTATTGATTATTTAGGTAACTGCCAGAGAACATCCCTCCCACACTCAATCTCTGTACTTTGTCCGTCTTTTTTTGTGTGGTCTCAGCTATCTCTTATCTGAATGTCTGGCTTATTTCTTTCTTTCTGCCGTACAAAATCTTCCTGACGTTTTTGCTTCCTCCTCCTCCTCCTCCTCTGGGAGATCGCGGGACCGTGGAGTGGTCCTTGTGGGCAGCTGGGATTCCGGTCTCCCCCCGGTCACAGATCCCGATCTTCATATCCCGACCGCTTCCTAGATTTTCGCTCCAGGCGTGCGTCCCTGTCCCCGTCGCCTGCCGTCCGACCCGCCGAGCTCCCAGAGTCCCCTCCCGGAATCCCCCCGGTTTCGGTTTCACGCGGCGGGGGATGCCGGAGGCCGGGCGAGACGCGGGCCGCTGTGTGGTGTTTTTCGGGATGACGCAATGGCGAGGAAGGTCACGTCACTCCTCAGACATGGCCGCAGCTGGCTGGGGCTCCGCTGGCTGCAGCTGTCCCACGCCGCCCAGGGGAGGAAACGGGGGGAGAATAATAATAATGTAAGGAATTATTATTTACGTAGCGCTT